AAGATTAGAAAGTGAAGTGAAAGCTGTTCTGGAAGCACTTGAAAGGAACAAAGCACCTGGAGTAGAAAGCATACCAAGAGAACTATTCCAAGCTGCAGAAAATGAATCTGTCCAAATCCTAACAAAAATATGCCAACAAATATGGAAAAAACAATGGCCAACAGACTGGAAATGTTCAATATACATTCTAATCCCCAAGAAAGGAGATGCAGAAGAATGCAGAAACCATAGGATGATCGTACTAATTGCCCATGCAAACAAAGTGATGCAGCAAAGAATATTACCCTATATGGAATGAGACATACCTGAAGTTCAAGCTGGATTTTGAAAAGGAAGAGGTACTACAGATCATATCAAAAATATACATTGGCTACTGGAGTGCACCGAAGAATTTCAGAAGATCAGCCTATGCCTTATAGACCACAGCAAAGCTTTTAACTCTGTGGATCTCAAGAAGCTATGAATGGTTCTGAAAAAAATGGGGTGCCTCAGCACTAGATTGTCCTGATCCGTAACCTGTATTGTGGACAAGGAGTTACCGTTAGGCCAGAATATGCAGAAACAGAATGGCTTCCAATAAGTAAAGGAGTCAGAAAAGGATGCATTTTCATCTTCCTATCTGTTCAATCTGTTTCTAGAGCATATCACAAGTACAAAAGTACTGGATTAGAGAAAGGAGTGAAAATTGGCAGAAGAAACATCAATCATTTTAAGATATGCAGATGATACCCTACTACTGGCAGAAAGCAGCAATGAATTGAAATGACTGGTGATGAAAGTGAAGGAAGACAGTGCAAAACAGAAATATAGCTGAATATTAAAAAAAATGATTACAGAGAACAGTTGCAGACCTTTATTGTTAACAATGAAGAAACTCAAACTGTGAAAGATTTTACATACCTAGGCTCACTCATGGAGACTGGAGCCAAGAAATTCAAAGAAGACTGAGACCTGGAAGGGCAACAATGAAGGAACTAGAAAAGATCAGCAAGAGTATGAATGCTACTCAGTAGTCCAAGACCACAGTCACACTAAGGTATTCCCAATCACCACGTATGGGTGTGAAAGCTGGACAGTGAAAAAAGCAGATAGGAAGAAAATTGATGTGTTCTAAACATGGTGTTGAGATCTTTCCAAATACCATCGACTGACAGAATGACAAACAAGTTGGTCCTAAATCAAATGAAGCCAGAACTTTCCCTAGAAGCAAAAATGACAAAACTGAGGCTGTCCTAGTTTCAGCACACCACGAGAAGGCAAAATTCCCTGGAGAAGACAATCATGCTGGGGAAAGTAGACCGCAACAGAAGAAGAGGAAATCCAAGTATGAGATGGATTGACTCCATAAAAGAAGCCACCACCCTGAATTTACAAGTGCCAAACAAGGGCACTTGGGAGAGCTTTCATATGTAAGGTTATCTTAAGTCAGAGAACTTGATGGTACATAACATCAACAAACAAGTGAATATCAGTAACTAGTGTCACTGCCTGATCACTAAGAAATGAAACAAGCATTTTCACAGTTGCCTGTGTTAAATGTAACAATCACTTCCAAGCAAGAATGTATTTGTGAAATGGATCAAAGCTGAAATGTCTAGCATAGTTTTTCTAGGCATATAAACAAGTAAACTGAGGGAAAAGGGTGTTCAGTAATTTTTGAAAGCTCAATATGACGACAAGCACCCAAAAGATAAGAATGTCAAGAACAGGACATTTTGTTCAAAAGATCAGTGTAAGTCAGAGATGAGTTGACAGAATGCAACAACAGCAACAACAAATGATGACAAGCAGTAGCTTACAGGATGAAGATCAGGAAGCCTTGGTACATTTGTGCTTGGATCAACCCCTGCTCTATCTCAGCCAAAGACAGTCACACTATCTTCCATTCTGATGTATAGAAGCAATGGTATGTACCAACCATATTCAGCAATAGGGGAGTAAGTACAGGAATTTAACAACCTAAAACTTTTGTCCTTTGAGCTTTTTGAAAAGTTCTACCATGTCAAACCATTTGACACCAAGACATGAAAATTAATCAAAGACCTCCCAAGAAACGATCAGTTGTAAAAATAAAGACACTCTGAAGAGATGAGCATCAAGAGATAAAACTGTTCAGCAACAGTAAGTTGTTTACTTGCCTTATCTGTATCTCTGATCATGCTTCATTATTAACAGAGCAATGCCATCTCAATTGTTGTACAATTTCTTCCCTAAAGCCAACAATTTACCTCACAGGATAAATTTAGGCAGTGTTCATAGAATCATAGTAGATTTGGTAGGGGCCAGAAGGCCATCAGATCCAATCCTCCCCCCCCCCCGCCATTGCAGGATACTAAGTAGCACCATCCCATTCAAATGAGTGTACAGACACTTTTTGAAGGTTTCCAGTAAGAGAGAACCCACAACTTCCTCAGGTATAGGTTCCATTGTCATGCTGCTTGACAGTGAGGAAATTTTTTCCATATCTAATCTAAATCTGGTTACTTTTAACTTAAGTCCATTATTCCATGTCCTCATTCTGGGATGAAGAAGAAGGGATTTTGTCCTTCCTCTTTGTGACAGCCTTTCAGGTACTTGCAGAGTTTTGCTTTAACCATTTCTACCTGATTGCAGAAACACTTTACAAAAAACAGGAGGTGTCATAAAAAGAAAAAGGCTACAATCCTGTTAACACATACCTGAAAATAAAAGCAGTTATATTTACTTATGAGCACATGTACTTATAATCAGGCTGAATGTTATTAACCAAGAGTTCCTCCATAACTTCCCTTTTACATTACTATGCTTCTGTTGGGAATTCACAAGACCTTTTTCTTCCATGGAGTTGGCTTCCTTCTTTGCAACTGCAATGCCTCCATGCATTCTGGCATCATCTTCAATTCAACTCACTTCAGGTTCTTTGTCAAACTATTCTGAAGTGTTTGCATTTGAATCAGAGAAGAGCAAACAGCATGTCTCAAAACCAATACCTGTTGGAAAGGTTACATTAAATACTGAAATGACTCAAGCAACTGTGCTATATATTATAGAGAAAAAACAAAGTCCCATGAGTATTAATACAAGCGTTCTGAGCCAAGGTCATGTTAACAATGCTTAGAAGCCAGGCAAATGAATCACTTTCCTAAACTAAAATAACCTAACCACATAAGCTATGGGAGCTCTAATGAAGGGGTTTTTTTTGCGGGAGGGAGGGTTCCTTTCCCAGAGTTCTTGGAGCACTCGAGTAGAGGAAGGACAACAATCTGTTATTTCTTATCACACAGGAACTTTTGTCCTACACATAGACTTTCCCTCCCACACAGTGCCCAAAGTTCAGAAAAAAAGAGGGAAATTCTTTTCTCTAGTTTTTATATTAAATATTCATATCTAACCTCTTTTCCATCAAGAATACACACATGGAAACCCAGGCCTGATCAGAACCATCAAGGGACTGATCAGACCCAGGACTACAATGAGGCAACTGCACCATCTGCTTTTAGTCTCTTTGGACTGCAACTCCCAGCATCACTGAGTAGTGACTATGCTAAGGCTAATGGGAATTTCAGTCCAGCAACATCTGGAGGATCACATTTTCCTTACCACAGGGAGAACTGGGGGTTATACCCAATGTTAACCTAATAGCCTAACTTGTCATATTCATTTCAATGGGTCTACTTTAAATACAACGCTGAATTGCAAACCAAGACACATTCAGTTCATATTTCATCCATGCTATCAGATCATTAATTTTAAAAAGTCAGCTTCTGTCAGCTACCAAAAAGCCCTATCTTACAAAGTTGTTATAAGGAAAATGAAATATTTTATTACTGCATGAATTTATTAATTTAAAGCCCACCACTCAACTCAAAATAGGACTAAAGGTGCTTAACAATAAAAAAAAATACCGCTAGATGTTACATAAGCATTACATGTTTTTGCAAAATGTATTCCATTGTGCAGGAATAAGCTGAATATTCCAAAGAAAGATCTATTTGAGCCCATCAGCTGTAAATCTGCCGTACCAGATTTTTTAAAAAATGTTGATTTAATGCAAAAAGAGATTTTAACAACTGTGACTACCCTTAAAAATGTTGCTGCTAAGTTCCAAGGAGTGTGGTGGGACAGGAGGGGGAGATCAAACAGATTTTTATTTGCCAGACTTAAAATGCAGTAATAATTCTGAGTCATACACAGTTGCTTGACATGTTTAGTTCTTCAAACATTAGAGCCAAGGACTGAAAAAAGCAGTCTGCTCCCCTCTGATAATATTTTAATCATTTAGGCAGTTGCTATTAGACAGCAGGAGTGGAAACAGCAGCACTATCATTGCTGCATTTCCTTTCTCATGAAACATCCCATGCAGAATACCCCAAAACGAGTGTGCTTCTGCCACCTCCATAGAAGACCCAGAACACGTACTTCTGTTCCTATCATCGAAATATGCTATACACAAAGAACGGAAGGGAAGGACGCCCTGATTATACCACATGACTGACAGCAGCCAATCAGCAAAGGCTCTGCCCATGTCTGGTTTGAGAATGAGGCTATCCCAGAAGCACAGGCGATTTGACAACAAATAAGAGGAAACAGCTGACTAGAGAACTGTGGGCCCCAAGTCGCTGGTAGAACAAGACCAGAACACAAAGCCAACCCTTCAAGCACGGCTTTATTTGGAAACCAACTTATCTCATACATATATGGCCATATGAGGCAAAAATAAAAAGGAAGCTACCCTACTAATCCAAAATCTTAGAGATTTAGGAATAAAGTGGCTAGTACACTGAAGATTCTGAACATGGGAAGAAGGGGAGAAGGGATGTTTAATCTATAAGGAAGCAGGAAGATAAGTTCTTGGGATTGATCTGTAATTACAAAATTTGAATCGGAGGATAATTAGGCCTGGGTGGCAAAGAGAAACAAACAATAAAAGACCGGAAGCAGAAGGAGAGTTGTTGTCCTGCGTGTATTATACACCTATATCTCGAATTTTATTTCCTTGCAAGTGCTCCACGCACACATACCCGACTGTCCTGGCTGGAAACGCCTCTTTCGAGAGAGATCAAGAAAAGAGGGATACCCCGCAGAGCTTCCTAGCGACAGTTCTGCGCTCCGCTTGCCGCAAGAGAGCGAGCGCTGCGACTCCAGCTGGACAAAAGGCGAGGCGGTGTTGTTGCTGGCGATCCCGGGAGTGAAATGGCGACGGAGAAGGCTGTGCTGCCAAGCGAGAGGAGGCTCTCTTGTTATTGTTACTGTGAGGCTGATGCATCAGAAGTGCGGGGAGGAAGAGGAGGGGGCGGCGGTCGTGGGATGATGCAAGGGAGGGGGGAGGGCGCGCGCGTTGTTGTGCCTCCCTGAGCGTTATTGTGAGGGAGGGGCCGGCTTCGGGGTGTTTATGACAGAAGCTCAGGAGAGAGCCAGAAAGCGGTGAGGAGGGGGAGCAGAAGAGGGGCGAACGGGGAGGATGTCTGCGCCAGCATGTGTTTATGTGGATGAAAGAGAGGACTTACACACGAACACCACACTTCAACACGCGGGCACGGCACAAGGAACCCCCTTCGTCAAACACGGCCGGAGCGGGGAGGGAGGGAAGGAGGAAACAAGTGGCCTCTCCCCAGAGCACCTTGCCAGGGCCCCGCAGCCTCCTCGGCGGCTAGCCTCCCCGGCCCCCCGCCGACCTCCTTTCCCCTCAGGCAGCCTCTCAAAGCCACAGCCGTTACCTGCGGATGGACAGCGACCACGGGGCGGCCTGAGCCGAGGGCTGCGGGGGGAGGCCGAGAAGCCAGCGGAGGAACGGCTTCAGCACCGCCGGCCGTCGACTGCTTCAACGGCAGCCTCTCAACTCAGCTGAGAGACTCTCTCGTCGTCCCGCCCCCCCACGGTGCGCGCTCGCTCTCCTCCCCTCCCCCTCCTGGCCCCGCCCCCGCGCGCGAGGCCCCGCCCCAGCAGTGTCAGTCACCGCGTCGCTAGGCTCGATGGCCACGCCTTCTAGTCCCCGTGCTCTCAGGGCTTCTCTAGCAGCGGCGGAGGGCGGGCGCTTCTTAAAGGGCCAGGCAATGAAACAGGAGCACACCTACGCTTAGGAGCGTAAGACGATCCCTGCCGGAGCCGAGCAAGGGTTCATCTAGCCCAGCGCTCTAGTCACACGGTGCCCAACCAGCCACCCTCGGGAAACCCACAAGGAGGTCACGAGTACAACAGTCCCTCCCCTCCAAGTTTCTCAGCAACTGGTGTCCGTTGGCACCGGAGATAATGAAGTGTACCGCCATTGGGACTAGTAGATCATGCCTTGTATCGGTTAGACTTTTATACTTGCTTTTTTGTCTACGCCCTCGCTTCCTGCTTGTAGGTTTGTTCTTTTCATCTCCAGAGAGGAGCTGTGTTGTATCATTGCAGAAAAACAAGACTCGTGACACCTTAAAGACGCACACATTTAGTCCGGCACCAGCTTGAATGCGTATCCATCTCCGCCCGCTATGTACTGTATAAAACCTTCAAACTCTTCATAGCTATTGATGTGGCTTCGAACTGGCCTAGAGTTCACGACAGTTTATGACAAAATAAAATCGTTCGCTTTGGAAATGACGCAAGCTTCTTGGTTCGTATTATGGTTGCTTGCCGAATCCCATCTCTGTTTTCTCGCAGGGAACTTTCTGAGTTTGATAGGGCTGCACAACATCTTAGCCGAAGATAGAGGGAGAGTTTTCATAGATGATAATTTTTGGCCGGATTTATTCCCAAGCAACTGTAACACTACAGTTACAGACATCAGGTTCCGATGGTCCCAGCTGGGTTCAAACCTTCTGCCATCTGTTAAAAAAGGAAAGTGTATGTGGAGGGGGGCGGGGAGAGACCTCTTATTTACGCAGCTACAGTCCCCTAGAATAGGTGATATTGAGCAATCGCTTGACTCAGGAACCTCACATTGCTGTAGCTAATTGAGCAAAAAGGCATAGGGTAGCAGCCTTAAAAAAGCCTTTTCCGGAAAGTGGTCAATAACGTAAACCAAACAGCAAGGTGTAAATCCGTCTTGTCTAGAGGAGATGGTGGTGAGAGCTCTGCTCAGAAAATCCTCCTTGAGTCCGCTGCACTGGATCACTTGCAGCCAGATGCTGGAGCTGCAGTGGTTTCTCAGTTCCAGGGGTGCCGGATAAAGTGGATTATCTAGATTCATTTGAGTCTAGCTTCAGTTCTGGGGATGGGACAGACTGCTGAAAACTGGACAGCAGTCCTGGCAGGGGGAGTCTGAGGGGCTTCATTGAGTGTGTGGCTTCTGGGGGGTGGGGAGTGGGAGAGGGGGCTTCAGCTGGCCCACAGCTTGGGAGGGGAAGGAAGTGAGGGGCTTTGAGCAGGCAGAGGAGGGGGATGAGGAGCCCATGGGGATAGAAAGAGCCTCTTGACAGCACTGTGCTAATAGTCCATTCAAGCCTGGAACTGGCCATGAACCAAAGCCTACCTTCCAGAGAAACGTTGATTTGGCCCTAGGTTGTCCTAACACTTTTTAAATTAAGGCAGAAGTTTTGTCTGTGTATTTTTCTTGTGAAAGGAAGGAAAATATAAGTAGGCTGAGAACCGTTACACCTGACTTGCAAGGGACAGCATAGAAGAGATGCAGATATAGTGAGAAATTAACCCCAGTGACAATACAGGGGACCTAGGGACACCTGTGCACAAAGGAGTAACTCAGTATGGTGACTTGGCAGAAAGTCGGAGCTACTTTAAAGGAAAACAGAAGATAATGCCTCTGCCTATCTGTTCAGACTTGAGATATGATGCTCCTTACCTGGATCAGAAAATGAGGCCAAAAGGAGAAAGTGTGAAGAGTCCCTCTCTATGAGCACCCAAGCCACAACAACCTATCATGGTCATTTACCGTAGCATGGCCATGCCCTGATCTGCTAAGAAGCCAGCTGGGGACACCGCTTTCCAGCTGAATCTCCCTGCTCCCACTCACAAGTGGGTGGTGCTACTTGGGTCTGAATTTACATTTTTGATCCTTCTTACTAGGATTCAGCAATTTAAAAAAATCAAAACAAGTTCTTTTTCTAAGATTACTCATGGATGTTGGAAATTGATTTTATTTCATCAAGAGAGGAAAGAAGACAATAAGTGTTTCTTTCCTTCTGACGTGAGGAGCTCATGAGAACTGCTGGGTGGTATTTTGCATACGTCTCACTATCACAGGTCAAGGTGAGCAAGATACTCAGTGGGATTTTTTCCCTTTTGATCTGGTTTACACAAGAAAGTTTTGCTTCTGAAAAACTTTCTGTACTTGTAGTTCTAAGGCAGGTTCTGAAATTTGCGAGTGTGAACACTGAGGAATTCAGGTAATCAGAGCACAATGGCAGGTCAGAAAATTGTATGCAAGTACAGTGGTATCTTGGCTCATGAACTTAATCCGTTCCAGGACTCTGGTCGTGACCCAGGTCAAATTTCCCCATAAGGTTCAATGTAAATAAGGTTAATCCATTCTGTAACCATTTTTTTTTTCATCACAAAAATTTGAAACAATGTGACAAAGAACAACTAAGTAAGAAAGAACAAGAAAGATCAAGGCCAACTCCCCCTCCCCCGCTCCCGAGCACAACCACGATTGTGCCGGTCTTCCCTGGACGAGCACGACTGCGATTGCAGCCATCTCCCCACCACCACCCAGAACTCGACCCGATCACGCTGGTGCAGGGAAGATGGGCACGATCGCGATTGCCACCTGATGCAGAGTTCATGACCTGAGGCAAATTTTTTCTGAAATTTCTGTTCTCTGCCTGATTCGGTCATGAACTGAGGCGTTTGTGAGCCGAGGTACCACTGTCGTCTGCATCTTCCCTTGGGACCTGCAAGGCTTCCATATACTCTGGGATTGGTTTGTTTGTCCTTCTCTAAGATGGGAATTGCCTAGTTCCTCTTCTTGAAACAGCAGGATTTGAGGGTGCTTCATAAGGGGATGCAACCAAGCTGCATAGTGCTGAAAAATAAAGGACAGAAGGACAGGGACAGAAAGATAATGGATACGACATGAATATGGCCATATCTCTCAGCTCACACAGAGGCGGCAGTATTCTTCAAGGAGAGGGATGCTCGGCAAAGGATCAGAATAACCAACACAAAGAAGGATAAAGCTAGCTAAGTGCAATTAGGGTCTAGGAAGCCCTACCTGCCACATCTTCCCTAGAAGGCAGATGATTAGCCAAGACGGCTTGCATTTGGAGACTGCAGTCCAGCTACACTTGGTTGAATCTTCCTTGGAGATTATTCTTACAGGGTCTGTTGCCTTGTTTCTCAAAGAATAAAAGACTAGCTTGGAAGAGCAGCCCCTTGGCTCTCCAGTCAAGTTATGCAGAAAGCAAAAGATATACAGATAAGGGTAATGCTCTATTTAAGCATGCTATAATACTTCTGTAGAAAGAGATAGCTAAGTCCTCTTTGGGTTCCCTCTGGCCTCTGTGATCAGGTATCTCTTGAATCTTATGCATAGCAAATTACATTTATATTTCTCCAGAAATCCTCCCTTTCCGACACAGAGAACCCTAAAGGAACTGATGAATCATGCTGACTCCACAACAGTGCCCTGTAGTGGAGCCATCCGGTCCTTTGTTGCGGCTAAAACTGAAACTGAGGGGAGAATGAAGAACAGGGCCCAGTCTAAGAACCTGACATTGCTGCTGATCAGGGGAAGAGGGGCTCATGGGAAAGTCCAGAGAATGGCACAATTCAAGTGCTGGTTATGACTTACATAGCTTGGAACCAGGCTACCCGAAGGGCTGCCCTCTCCCATATGAGCCTGTCTGGATTTTAAGATCTTCTAGGGGAGTCCTGCTTTTGGGTACTGCAACCATCAGTGACACATCTGACAGGGAGTGAGAGAGGGTCTTTTTGGAGGCCACCCCTAGGGTCTGGGACTCCTGGCCGAGGGAGCCTAGGCTGGCTACTTTCTGTTGTCCTTGTTTTAGCAGCCATTTTGTGAATGCATAGTCTCTTCCCTGCCTACAGCCATTTTGCAAGAACACCCACAAAACTCTTGTCAAAATGTGTCCACTGACCCAGAAACTTTGGAGGGTCAGTTGGCAGGGCATGTGTGACAGAGTCAAGATGGGACTGACAGACCGTACTCCCAACCAATGGCCACCAGCTACAAATCAGGCAGCAAGGAGAGGGAGAAAGTTCAGGATACTGGGAAAAAGTCCTATACTTTACAAACTGCATAGATTCCCAGAAAATTCTTGGCTTTGCTGCCCTGAAAATCTGTGGGTTTCACCACAGATAAGTGTTGTGTTCTTGACTGGTGATGCTTGCACTAAGGTGGCATATAGGACAAGCTTTGCTACACTCCAGGGCAAAGATGCAAGCAGCCCTTCCTGTTGCCTTTGCTAACAAATGACATCACAATGAAATAAAAAACTGTAAGCTGACATCAACCTTACAACATTCTTGGAATATTTGACAATGGTCAGCTGATAACATCTCCTGTGTCTTGCTTATTGTTTCAAGTTTATAATGCCATAGTCCTTTCTATGTACACTTATTTGGAAGGAAGCCCTGTTGAACTGCAGGAGACTTACGTCTCAGTAGGTATGCATGAAAATTGATTGAAAGTTTAATTTGTGTATCACCTTGGTTGCCCTTTTTTGGCTGAAAGGTGACCAAAAATGCTGTTGTTAGATAAAAAAGAAACAAGAAAGAAAGAAAAAGGATCTGACCAGTTAAGCACAAAGATACCAAGTGTAGGCAAGCTGTAGGAATAATCTGGCAATTCAGTAATACTCTGTGGCTCCTTATAGCAATAAGTATATTGGTTTGACTGAATGTTACGGAGATTAAATATTTCATTCATCTAATGAACCTGAATAAAT